CCATTTGAGCATGTTATGTGGGATTCCCAAGTGTGTTTTGGCCAATGTCATCTCTGTGGAGACTTTGAGGAGTCTTTGGGCTAGTTTATAACGTTTTGAGATTTTTCTTTTTACTCTTGGCATTCTGTTTTTCTCATTTTGTAGTTTCTTGTTAGGAACCAGAGCACATAAACATTTCACCCTTGACTTTCCATCTCAAAAACAGAAAGCCCTTGTGCACCATTTTTGTTTAGTGTATCAGTACCCAGACCTTATTTTGATCTGCCTTTGACTTCTCAGTGGAGGGCGGCTCCTAGGCACATCCCTTTCCTGTATTCTGTTCTCGTATTGCTGCTGCTTGCTTGTTGATTCTTTAGTTTGACTCTCTTCCTCCAGATGTGAGTCATCCTGCATCCCCTGGGTTATACACTTCCCACCTTGACTGCTGTGCTGTGCCAGCAGGTGCTGTCTCACAGCAGATGTTTTAAATGCACTGATGATTGTGTCTCTTTACCTTTGACATGCGATCATGAGGTAGGGCCATTCTCAGGGTTCAATGAGATTTGAGATTTAAGTCTTCAAATGGGATTTTCTTTTTCAAGTCACTGTCTTGATGAAAACATGTTGCTTTTTTTTGTTTGTTTGTTTTTTAACCAGGACCCTGCTAGGAGTCATTAAGTATCCTCCTAGACTCAAGTCACCAAACTAGCCTGTCTTTGCTTCCAGCAGCTTCTGTGATGTGAAGCTGCTCGAACACTTCATGGAGTTTTCGGAACCTAGTCAAGTGTTCAAATTTCTGCCTGTGCCCCGCATCCCAAACAGCATGGCACATGTGAGTGGGAGCTCCAGAAACCATGAATCAGCTCCCACCCAGCTGATAAAACTACCAAACTAAATTCACCAGTCCTGTGGCTGCGGCCATTTGTCTTGTACCTGCGCAACTCCCAAAGACCAGGACTGAATCCCCTTGGGGATGTTTTCTTCTAATCCATGTAATTGTCCTCAACCCTTAAACCTTAAATGGCCACAGCCGAGCACTGTGCCAGGGCTGGCTCTCTTTGTTTCTGTTGTACCTAGTCTGTCCTTGCCCTCTCTCTCTCTCTCTCTCCCCCCTCTCCTCCCTTACCCCCACCACTGTTCTACCCTGATGCCACATCTTATATTGAATTATCATGATGCAACAAAAGCCCCTGCTCCTCTACCAGGGCTCCTGTCTACCTGGTTTTGTTCCACCTGTCTTCCCATTGTACCCATCTTTAATCCTTGTCTTTGATTTGACCTGCCTTCAGGCTCCCTTGGCCTCTGTTCCTCCTGTGCCTGCCTCTCTGTTCTACCTGTGTACCCCGCCCCTCCATCCACCATCCACCTTGCTACTGCTCTGAGGACAGACACAAAGGGAATTTAAAACTGGTCACTGAAGCTAGTTTTGTTTGGCGGATGGGGGGAGTTGTATGGTGTAAGTGGAGGAGGGCCTGATTGCTCTGAGCTTTAAGCGCTTAGATATTCTTCAGAGATGCAATGGACACTGTTAGACCCCAAATTTCCTCTCCTGCATTACCTTTTCAGGTGGGTCGTTAGAAGGAGAATTACTCGGGGGATGAGTATTTTCTTTCCAAGACTTTTCAAACCTCTTGCCAAATTGCTTTTTAAAAAGGTTATAGCAATTTACGCTCACACTAGCTGTGTGTAAGAGCCCTCATCCTCTGTACCTTCACGCTCAGCACTTAAATCCTGCCTTGCTGTTCTGCCAGCGAATAACAATGTACCATTTTCATCTTGATTACTAATGAGGTTCACATTTTTTTGTTTATGAGGCAGGCAGTGTCCTGGTTTTTAAGTACAGTTGACTTCTCTGCCCTTACTTTGCAGTCATAGGGCAGACATAGGGATGTCTCTTATTTTTATTTTGATAATTTTGGTTCATGGATAGAGTTCTAGCCCAATCCCCGAATTAAGTTCCAAGAAGCAGCTCTGTACAATTGCTTACCACCAGCCTACCATACTGTTTAAAAATAAAAGCCTCGGTTGACTCCTAAAATGCATTTAAAACAACCCAAAAAGTATTGTAATTTTCTTTAGAATCTATAGAATTAGAAGTCCTTTGTTTCACAGGACTTTCTAGTTCTGGTCCTAGTGTACAACTAACTGATTTCAAATGCCAGGTTCACAAAAACCACTTCATCCATTCTTCTGGACAAATGCATGCACTGGGTTCAGGTGAGACATGAAACTCCTGTGTGTAAACAATTAGCCCTATAGCTGGGTGATGGTGGGACACGCCTTTAATCCTAGCACTCTGGAGGCAGAGACAGGGTTATCTCTGTGAGTTCAAGGCTAGCCTGATCTACAAAGTGAGTTCCAGGACAGGCTCCAAGGCTACAGAGAAACCCTGTTTGGAAAAAAAACAAAAACAACAACAACAACAAAACAAAACAAAACAAAACAAAACAAAACAAAACAAAATCCTTGCCCATAAATGGACTAGTATCCCATTTGCAAAGGACAGGGATGGAAGAGGGGGTGTGTCTGTGAATTGTAGCATATATGTTTCCCTTCAGCTAGTGGAGTCCCATGTTCCAACTTACAATTGTGCTGAGCTAGCGAAACTTGCTTCCTCTAAGAGAGGAGTGGCTGAATGGTACAAATTGCTTTTGGCCGGTTTCCTTAAGTTAAGTAAAGGGGCACAAATGCTGCCAGGCAGCACTCTGCTAACTCCTAGGGGTCGCCCTCTTTCTGCCCTTGCTGGGCCTTCTTTAATTAGCCCCCTTGTCTGTTTGGCTGCATTCTTTAAGATGTTCTCATCCAGATGGAAGACTCCAGACAGGCCATTTACCTCTTCTCAGGACTTGCTTTGTGGACACCAGTGTCTTCTCGGTTCTGGGGGTGGGGGTCCCCCCCCACCATTTTCTTTGCTTAGTGTGGACTTTCAGTGTTACCTGGAAATCTATTCTTTAATGAATGAGTCTGTGTCACCTCTTCTAACCTCTGGCCTGACCCAGGTGTACTGGCTCTCTTAGGAAACCAGAGCCCTGGACCTTCTCAAGCCCCTAGCGGTAGTCTTTCTTTTCCATCTTCTTGCAGTTTGGTATTTCATATTAGGCATGTCGATGTCACCCTTCTGGTTCTAAATCATTGACTCAATGGCTTTGGTGATTATTAAGTGTCAGGCTCATTGCTGAACTGTCTTGATTGGCACTATTCATTTAAACATGTGCTAGGTGCACCTGAATGGGTGCTTTCTAGAAAGCCATTCTCCCCACAGGTTGGATGGTGTGTTCTAGACAGCTGCATCCATGTAGCATTTGAGGCATAGTATTATAGGGGATTCCTTCTCCTTCACTAACTCTCCCTGATAACTGTTTTAATGGGACACAGTGAATCTTTAACTCACATTGGTTATCAGCAACCAAGGGCTCAAATTCCAGCCCAGTAGGGCTGATTTCACACCTGGCTTTCCCACCTACTCTTCTGAAGGTATAGCCTCTGAATCTCAATTTAACCTCTTAAGACATGAAACAGACAGCAAGTCTACCTGTGATTGAGTGGGAACATGGCTTCAGGTGTGGCTAGTGAGCAAGCTAACAGTGATGATGAGCACTCTAGACATGGCATCTCCTAAAGAAAAGGGGGGTGCACAGGCAGCTTCTTTTGAGGCCACTGGGGTGCCAGTTATTTATGTCTTTCCAAAGCTCCCATTCACAAATAAGTGTCCTTCTGTTTAAAAAACAAGCATTATTTAGCTCTTTCCCAGAACACCACCAACTTGGAATCTAAATCTCAGCAATTACCATTATTCACAAATAGTTTACATTTCTGGGCAAATGGAAGATACCATATCATCATTATTGTATTTGTTCAATTTGCAAAATGTGTCCTTTGAGGACTCATTTGGAAGCCTCTGTGTATACTAGAGATAGAAAATGTATTGGACTCTAACATGCACTGTGGAGTGCATGTTCCAAATTAATATAAAAGACATTTAGGCATTCAAATATATTGTTGGAAAACGTGGAATTAGTGAAGAGAATGCAGTTTGGGACCTCATTTACTAAAGAAAAAAATTAGAGATATCTCAAACTGTATCCTCCTTATTATTCTACCAGACTCATACAATTTAATGGAAGTTAGTGTATGTCCTATGTGGTTTTAGATGTCATTAACTTACGGGTACATGTTTAAAAGCAAGAAAGGCTCTGTGATGTCAGCTCCCCAGCCTGCAAGTGAGGAACTAACTGTGTTTATGGCACAAAAACTGCTCAACCCTGGAGTCTCCCCAAAGCATGCACCTTTCGAGTCTCACACACAGGTGTGTGCACACACCCACAGTTACACACTGACTGGACTACTTGGCCAGCTGCTTTGGTACTTTACTCTCTCCAAAACTGCTTTTATTTGGAGCTTACTGTTGTCCAGCTCTGTGTGATATGAAGAATTCCCATCCCTCCCACTGGGCAGTCCAGTGAGACTGCCTTTCTCCTCAGACTCTTCCCTAAGGGCAGAAATAACAGTGGGGTTGCTCCTTAGTGGTCACCACTGAATTAGCCAAGGAGGAAACAGACAGAGTTTGAAAAATGAAATGCCTTTCTTTGCCCTGACCCAAAAAGAGGGTCTGTGCATGCATTTGTCTAATAATACAGGCAACTGATTTCCAAGAATGCTACATAAGTGACTGGGATTTCAATCTTGTCTTTTAATTTTTTGTGAACTTAATTAAGGGGAAAACATTTAAAGTTTTATTTTTGCAGCCTGAATCACCTTTTGTCAAGATGCATTTAATTACTTAATACAGTTAGAGAGGGAAAATATCCACTGTACCTCATTAAAACAAACAGACTTCTGAGATAGGAAGTGACCCAGGCTGTCTCTGGGTGGCCTTGAGTATCATGTAGCAGAACTAGGGCTTCTGCTCAGGTCCCGTGCTTTCCCCTAATGGTCAAAAAGCCAGCTCCATAGTTGACGCCAATTGTTCCCATGAGCATCATCCTTTTCCTATCTAATTCTACTTTCCAATTCACCTGCAGGGGAACTTTGTGGCTTGCATGACAGCTATTTTGAGGCAGATGGAAGACTACCATTATGCCCACCTGATCAAGACCTTTGGGAAAATGAGGACAGATGTCGTGGTAAGTGCCGTTTCTGTCACAGGGCCAGTGGTGGGCGTGGAGGGTGGCATTTGTATTTCCATTTAAAATAGAATTTTGCATAGAACTTGTCTGGTTGATATCTGAAGCCACTTTAGTCTCTATGTGGAAACTTTTGACTAGGATTTTATCTAGAGAACAACTTGGGTCTGAGCCTGGAGAAATCCCATCTGGTCATAGCATCCTCTCCCAGGCTGCTGGGTCACTAACAGTCATGTCCCTTGTAGTCATTAGCTCCTGTCATTTCTTGATTTGATTTTCTATAGCAATAGCTAGTGAGCCACCCTCTTGCACCTTAAACTATCCATTGCTATTAATTAGTGCTAATCATGGACACTCATCAGCATTTCTCCTAATAATGCCTTAGCCTTCCTCATGCAAACTATGATGCAACTTAATTGGGAGAGTATAATAAGGAAATTTATTGCTTAGGAGCTACCTCCCTAATGGCCTGAAATTACACTGCCATATGGTGAACATCCTTTGCAGAGCTGCACCAAACCTGCTGGCACGGTTCCTGGTGAGAAGCTGATGTGAATTCTTGGATTCTACTTCTAAGGACTCAGTAACCCTGTAGAATACCCATAGATTCCTGAGATGCACATCTACCTTGCATAGAGTATTTCCAGAGCAAGGCTTACTACACTTGGCCTCTACCTTACTAAGGGAGGGAAACAAGATGATGTATATATTGATAGCTAGCTAGATTGGTTGATAGATTGATAGCTAATAGATATAAATGATGGGGGATAGATTAATAGATTGGGTAGATAAATATACACAGACAGATATTCATCAAGGAGAAAATCTATAACTCAGAATCATCGCAGTGTACCTTAAATAAAATGTGTATGTTCTTTCATGTCCATGTATTTTAGTTTTCTTTCATTGTCAAGGAAAGGTTTACAGTGGGGACATGCTCAAATATGCAATAAATACTGCATGATATCCTAAGATTAATTTGAAATCATAGCAAGTAAAATGTTATTTTGTATTCTTAGTATTTAGTTCATCATTAAATCTTAAATATGCCTCTATGGCCTGATTTCATCAGTGGAAATAATAGTATGGTATTGTGTGACTTCAGAGATGATATTCTGAGATGGCGAGTGATAAGGTCTCAGGATGAGAGCAACTGCTCATACTGAGAAATGAGTACTGCCATTAATAATCTGTACATTATCAGAGCAGATGTGTGCGCAAAATCCACATGTGGCATTAAAAATGTCTATTCTGAATTTAGCCACAATGTGGGCTGAACCACAATTATACAGCTGGCTTCTAAGGAAGTGCCTCAGTTGCTTTTCTGTTGCTGTTTTAAAACACCGTGAACAAAGTCAACTTAGGGAAGGGTGACTTTATTCTGGTTTATAGTTCCAGAAGGATAAGAGTCCATGATGGTAGCAGGGAGGCATGGCAGCATGTGTCAGGTATATGGCGACAGGAGTAGGAAGCTGAGAAATCCCACCTTACAGCAGGCACGAAGCAGAGAGAGCTTTGTACATAATCTGAAAGCCTGTCCCCAGCGACAGACTTCCTCCAGCAAGGCTGTACCACCTAAACCTCCACACACAGTGCTGCCAGCTAGAGACCTAGTGTTCAAAAGCCTAAGGCCTTAGGCAACATTAATTGTTCAAAACACTGCAGGATGACTTACCTGCCTGGTTGGGCACATACCTTCCCCTTCCTCACAATGGATGATCAAGTTATAGTTTCTGTGTAGTGGGCCTAATTTCCCAAGGGAATTTTTTTTTTCTCTTAGACACAGGCATCCAGAAAATCAATTATTTGCATACAATTTGATTTCCATTATAAAATGGCATTTGTTATTTGTCTATCTCAAATTCCCAGGGCAAGGTTTTTGATTGTTTTTAGTTCATCAAAACCTTCATGAAAATATGTTCCCATCTACTAACTGTATGTGGAGAATGTTTTATTTTTTTACTCTCCCAATTACCACGAAAATGTAAAGATCATTTCCTGTGAAATAATTGGAAGTTAATTAGTATTCCAATATGAAAATGGCCTAAACTATTTTCCCAAGTCTTGCTCGCTTCTAACAAGCATGGCTCTAGGTTCTTAGATTCAGGTACCCACCCCTAACCCCACCCTGACCCTGGGTGAAATCAGTATCACATAGATTCGCAATTATCTTCACTTCAACATCCCCACAGGGCTGTAGCTGTCCTCTGTCCCAGGGAAGCCTAAGAATCTCAACTGGGGTGGGAAGATTGGTTTAAGAAAGGGAAGACCGGACAGGTGCCATGCAAGCATCCCTCACAGGACAGGCAAGCTGCTTCTTCAAGACAGAGCTTCAGCAAACTTGTCTTGCTGATACCCGGTACTGGGCACTACGCTGAGTCTAAGTCTCAGCATCAGGATTAGAAATGGAGAGCTTGCCCAGAGCCTCTGGAGACTCTTCTAGCCATATGTCAAAGTCTTACACTGTGGGCAGCTCTGAAGAGCCTCTTTATTTCTCCACATTCTGACCCTCACCAGCCAGTTCTCTGACACCCGCTGAATGTCTTCCAGTTCAGTTCCATCCCTGCGCTGTCAACCTGGATGCAGCCATGGACCCCACAGATGACAGGGCTCACCCAGATCAAGCTGTGAGTCCAGGCTCTACACTTTTGAGGAAGCAACTGTTTATAAGAGTTCCTTAACCATGGCCTCGAGGTCCATAATTTGCCCAGCTAGCTCACAGCACTTCAGGAGACATGTGCATATTCCATCCTGTTTGCTATAAAGGATGCAACTGTAGAGAAACCAATGGGAAGAGCTTCACAGGACAGAGTGGGCAGTGGTGCACAAGACAGAGAGGACAGGGGTAGTCAGGACAGAATTGGCAGGGATGGGCATTCAGACAATCTTCAACTTCTCCAGAAGCCTGTCAGCAGCCCAGTCTCCTCCAATCTTGTTTGTGAGTTCTTTTGGCATAATCTATCCCCAGTTGGAGTATGTAGGGTTAGAAGTTTCAGCTCTCTTATCCTCTAGTCTTCCTGGTGACCAGTGCCATCTTGACACCTCCTTGAAATAAAGTCATGTGTAGGATTCATTATGTATATAGCACATGTGATGACACTCAGTGATACTTGGGGTGGGGGGGGCATGTGATTTGATCCTTGGTTCTTAGGAACCTTGTGCCATTATATCACAGTATAGTTGAGTAAGTGTGTATTGGATGAAGAGGGACGTGTGCATGGACAGAGCAGGTGGAGGCAGCGCCGAGGGCAGGGGTGTGTTAAAGGTTAGGAGAGGGAACTGTGCATACGGACTCTGGGTACTGCAGGCCCTCTCACTTGCTACCTGGTTCTTGGGTTCCTGGTGGAGTCCTCCAGGCTTGTTCTGCTGTCAAGCAAGCCTCTGAACTGCCATGCAATACAGGCCTTCTTGCTGGAATCCTTTCCCAACTGCTTCAGTATTCCCCTTCTGGGAGCCCCTTTTTGACACCTGTCCAGATTTCCATAGGTGGATGTAGATCCATCTGCTTCCTAGCACCTTACCTTGTCCCATTTGACCAGCAGCCTGTTCTGGAGGGGACCGGGTGGAGTATTGGATGTAGAAAGTGGTGAGGAGAAATGCTCTTGAATACAGGGGAAGCAGAAATGCCAGCAATGTGAATGGGCCTGCCTGCTACAGACACTTTCTGCAGTTGAGACCCTCAAGGTCTCAAAGGTGTTGCTGTTCATGTGAGCCCATCAGCAGAAGTGTTGCCTAGTCTCCATGGAGTGTGCATCTTGGGTGGAAAGAAGATACAGGCTCCACACACCTGCTGCCTCCACACAAACTCATGCCTCATAGTGTTTCCAGTGAACCCACATCATCTGAGCTCTGCAAAGAAACAAACAAACAAACAAAAACAGACAGGGACAAGTCAGTGATGAGACATCTTCTCTGGGCAGAGTGGATGATGGTGAGGCAAAGGGATTGTAGGAGAAAAGAAGAGTTTCTGATCCTAAGTTGGGCAGGAATTTCCTGTGGGAGGTATCCAAGGGGCACTGGGCTATCACACTATCCAGGACCTCCTCTGGGCTATGCTAGCAACTTTCTGTCCTCTGTTGCCTGTTTGTTTTCAGAGCAATTATGTTTTGAGTGAACTTTATTCTGAGGCCACTATGTTGGATAGAATGAATTCTGTATGCCCTTTATTTGGTTCCTCCTGACAGCAATGTCTTGCAAAACTATTGTATAACATCAAAACCAAGGTTTGACATTCCTGCAATCCACTCACCTTATCCAAATATCTTTGGCATAGCTTGTATTCTTTACTCTAACAATGTATCACATAGAGCTTCACACAAACAGAAGCTGGAAAACAGCAGTTTCTCTCTCTCTCTCTCTCTCTCTCTCTCTCTCTCTCTCTCTCTCTCTCTCTCTGTGTGTGTGTGTGTGTTGTGTGTGTGTGTGTGTGTGTGTGTGTGTGTGTGTGTGTGTGTGTGTGTGTTACAAATCTCCTAAGAAAGAGGATGCCATTGCCATAGGCATGCTTGTTGCTAAGTGGCTGGGCAGGCACTGACGCAATGGTCCCCATTGTGCTATGGGGAGGGGCAGCCATCCTCTCTCACTGGGCTCACACCTTATTTTCCCACATTTGCTTATTTCTTAGAGCCCCCACCCCCCCCAGGGTCAGAGTTGAATCCCGATTTCTCTGTCCAGTTTGCTTATAGCCTTAAACTCACTGCGGTTCTCCCAGCTCAGTCTGCTGGGATTACAGTCATGAACCACCACCCTGAGCTTTGTTTTGTCTCTAAGCTCTTGTTGTTGCCTTGCTGTTTCTTCCATCTGTGACTTTGTGTGTGTGTGTGTGAGGGGGGGGGGCATGTGACAACAGATGCCTACAGAAGCCATCAGAGAGCATTGAATCTCCTGGCACTGAAGTTACAGGCAGTTGTGAGCCATCCACTATAGGAGCTGGGAACTGAATTTGGATCCTCTGTGAGAGCAGTACTAGCTCTTACTGGATGATCCCTCCAGCTGAGAGTCAAATTAATGGGGAGAAAGAGGGGGAGGGGACAGTTGTTTGCTCCCCAGAACATACCTGCAGATTTTGTCAGAGCTGACCACTTGTTGTCTTGGGCACCCTCTGCAAAAGAAGTGAATGAAGATTGAGTGGTGAAGCTTTCTTTTAATATTCCTGTACCCGAGGCTTTGGCAGAGCAGTTTCTGAAGCTTCATCAGCTAAGCTTTATCAGTTGGTCCTTTGGACCACCTCAACTACTAAGTTAGGTAGCCTTACAAGTAAGCCTTGTGAGAGGTCATCTCCCACTTCAGACTGTTTTGTTTGACTAGCCAAATTCCATCATATATCAACTAAGCTACTAACTTTAGTTCTGGCCTATGATAGTTAGAAAGGAAAGAAAAGGTGCTGGGAAAAGATGGTTTCTCTCTTAAGAGTGTAAACCCATCCCTGCACCTCAATTATCAGGCCCAGGAGAGGGATGGGCAGGAAAGGTAGCAATTCTACAGGAGCAGAGATGGAGCTCACAAAGTATTCACTCTGGCCATCCAAAGTTCCAATTGACAAAATGGTAAGCTAAGTGGCAGCATGATTAAGTTGTGTTGAAACCTGTTCTTCATCTAAATTTCCTTTGGTCAGAGTGTTTCCTCGTAACAAAATGAAACTGGAACAGGCCCCCTGTGAATGTGGACCTTGTCCATCACCTGATGGTCACCATCAAGTTCCAACTGTGCTTCTTTGCAAGTGATGTGTTTTGAGAATTTCCCACCAGGGGATTGCTTTGTTGGCTGTTTAATAAATTCCATTCTCTCCCTTAGCCTTGGTAGCCAACACTTCATTATAATTCAATAAGTTACACAATGAGAAAGGTCCACATTTGGCCAACTCTAGGTATTGAATTCCTTTTCTAAAGTAACTCCCTTTTGTCTGTCTCCCTCTCATCCCCTGGGTCCTGAGCACACATGAGGACTTCCCTGGAAACTGTGTCAGGATTCAGGATAATATCACAGAACAAAATTAAACTTGTCCTTACAAATAGGACCTCTTCTTAATTCCAACCAGCACGGGGGAGCTAGTACATGTTTTCCTGCTTGCTGTGGCCAGGGCTTCCTTGTGGGTGTGTGATTGGCATGATTCTTGCTGCCCTATGTTGATCTGGGAGTACCACATAAAGACCATGAGATTCCAGCAGCATTCCTGAGTGTTTCACTATGGAGCTGTTGGGCAAAAGGGCTCTTTAACTCAGATGGTCATCTGCATGCTGAATGTGTGCAGAGGGTCAAGGCAAGCTTTAAATTACAAAGTGAAAGGGTAGGGATCAAAATATACCAATCTCTGGGGTTTTGATAGTGAAAAATGGATTTAGGAGAAACATGAGGGAATGCCGCAGCCTGCCTGATGGGTTTGTAAAATCCACATTTTCCTGTAAGCAGAAAAGGCACAAATGTATATTTATAACCCTTGGGGATCTTTTCTTAACTGCCAGCAAGACATTCCCAGAGACTATTTCAATATCTATCCTTGAAAAAGCTATCTCAAGCAGAAGGTGCCCAGGTAAACAGAAAGACAGACGCGGTACACAGCCCCAGTGAAATACGTCTTCATTTGCTTCTAGAATGTTTTCCTTCAGCGAAAGATAATGGGGTCTTTTATAATCTCATCATTGAGAAGAGTGTTCACCCTCCTCATGGGTGGGCTGCATCACTGCCATGTGGTCTCGTTGCAGGATTTTCTGATGGAGACATTCATCATGTTTAAGAACCTCATTGGGAAGAACGTCTACCCCTTTGACTGGGTGATAATGAACACCATGCAGAACAAGTAAGTTCAGCCTGCATCCTGCCTCCCTCATATCTAGTGGCAACAGTGGTGTGGCCAGCAGCTGAGGTGTCGGTGCTTCTGTGCTCTGCCTGTTCTGTGGTGTACATGCTTCTATGGCGATGAGGACATGGAGATCATGGTGGGGGTATCCTTATGCCAATGTGGGGCTCAGTCACTCAGGCTGTGCCCCTGGAGAGGAAGAGCCAGGACTGCCCTCAGATGGTACTAACAAAATCTGAGACAAGAATTCAGTGGTGTCTGTGGATTAAGGTTGTTTGTGGGCAGAGGTCAGTTTGGTTCTGAGATGAGAGGCTTGGGTGTGTGTATTTTAACACTTCTGATAGGTCCATGCTTCTTGTGGTGTTAGCGTGTAGTTTCCCCCATGGCTTATATTTTTTCTTTCTTTTTGTTTTGTTTTCTTGGGGAGGGGGGAATGGAGGGGTGTCCCATGTAGTCCAGGCTGCCGGAAAACTCACAATGTAGCTAAATGTGGTCTTGCATTCCTGATCCTCCTGTCCCCATCTCCCAAGCATGGGGAGAACAGGTTTGGATCACCACACCTACCTGGCTTTGCCTTTCTGTCCACCCTGTGGAAAAAGCCATGACAATAAGGCCTTCCTGGTTTCTGTGGCCCCTGTAACAGCAGGGACAGTGTTGGCATTGAGTTCCCAGCAGACCTCTACCAAGGTTCCGCTGAGGGAATTCTGCACTTCTCAAGTCAGATACTACTGTGGCCAAGATCTTTTGGGGTGGGCAGGATGGAGGAGGGGTCCTGGCCAGCAGCTAGGGCTGTTGCAGCCATCCCTGATTGGTTGTGGAGCAGGAGTCTGGAACTTTTCCTCCACCCTTCTACTTGCCATGTCACTTTAGTCCTTTGCCTATTTCTTGACACCCCCATCCTGAACCCAACAGCATACTTTTTTGCCATTGGGATTTATTTTTGTGACTGGAAATCCCAAATTCTTCTGGACCACTACACAATGTTTTCAATGGGTCTCTTTTTCAATCAGTAGAACAAACAAATCAACAACGATATCTAAAACAAACCCACTGTCTTAGACCCATGTTGAAGCATTGTACTGTGGGCCAGGACTTAGGGATAGCGTGGCAGCATTACCTAAAACAGGTCCCTGAGCACAGGTTGAGGAGGTAGCAGTTGTGGACTCCTTGTCATGACCCCATGGGTGAACCTGACTTCTGGCCTTCCCAGAAGGGCAGCCATTTTCCAGTCAGTGCTCAGGTTGTGCATTCCATTTTCTTGGTGGTAACTTTTCTAGCAACTCCGATGTGATTGGTTCCCTGCAGTTGTAGCTCAGGGTGCCCTTTTAGGGTTCACCAGTGTCTTGGGGAGAGGATAAAATATACTTATACATTTACTTTTGTGGTGCATTTATAATCTACAGGTTGTTGATAGTTTTCAAGTCATCCTGGTATTATTCCCTCTTCTTGCTGTACCATCCAATACCTCCTCCCTCCCACCCTGATCTGGAGGAAGCCTCAGCTTCCCCAGAACTAAAGGAATCATTGTGGTCCCTGGCTCCATCCACACAGCACTGAGTGCAGAGACACCAAGACTGTTTGGGGCCATGTTGTTTTTTGTGCTGTGAGGAAGTGTATGATTCATGGTCCCCAGAGTTGCGGACTGACTAAGCAGCATCAGCCTTTTCCTGTTCGCTGGAGACTCCCTACTGGCCCAGGCAGGTGATGAGCTGTTGTGGGTGGCAGTAATGAGTGTTCACTGTGTCTTAGACACGGGCTTTTGTTTTGAGGAAAATGAGCTGAGAAGAAAAGGAGCTATATGCTCCTGCCAGTGAGCCATTAGTGCCATTGAGACCTCTGAGTATAAGACGGTTGACACCAAGTGCAGAGAATGTCTTCTGCCCTGGCCTCTGATTCACTGTACACAAGGCTGACGTACTAAGACAATCCTGGGGCAGGGTGAATATCCAGTCTGCACAGCCTGTGACCCATCGTTTTCAGAGTATTGCACTAGACTGTCTAGTCACAAAATCAAATACTCTGAGTCACCAGATCCACCTGATCGTGCTTCATCCTTTGGAGCTTTCTGCACATTTGCAAGTGTCTAAGTGTGTGCATGTGTACATGTGTGTGTTCTTATTTATGTGTGCCTGACTTGGCTCCATATGAAGGCTCTTATGTTTGAAGAGACTCTAACCCCTAAAAAATCACAGTTGGCATTTTGCACAGGGACAAAATCCAGACCAAGGTGACCGATGGAAAAGCAACCCATTTTTGATGCACTTCACATGTGGGCACTAATGATTATGAAAGTTATTCCCACACCCCATAGGATGCAAAGTCCAGAATATACAGCAATGATGTGGTGAAGCCGAGTCAGATTGTGTAAGGGAGCCTCTCACCAGGCTGTGAATGTAGCTCAGCTGTGAGCATGCTCACCCACCATGCACTAAGCACCCCAGGCTTGATTCCCAGACCCCAGCACTGCTCTATGAGACTGGGTGTGGGAGCATGCACCTGTAATCCCAGCACTTGGGAGATGTTCAAAGAGAGAATGAAACAGAAACCTCTTGCCTCCATCCGGTTAGAGGGCCAGATACTTACAGCCCTTTGGAGACAGCTGTTTGGAGGCCCTTCCTTCCTTAAATGATAGCTTTGCTATAGTTTTTCACTTTTGACAATGTGCGCATTCTCTCTTGCTGCTTTCTGTATATGGCTTGTAGACACACCTAAACCCAAGAAGTTGGGCCCATTTGTCATGGATTTTTTTGCCAGTTGAGGTGGAAACCCACACTAAATCTGATCATTTAAGGTCAGAAGACCCACCCTAAAATCTGGGCCACGTGGAAGAAGGAAGCTTTTGTTTTTTTTACTTGCTTCCCACGCTTTCACTGGCAAATTCATCTATCTTATTCCCTGAGCTGTTCCTTTGCTGTGTTAGAACCTTCTTCTTTGGAATTACAAGGTGGACTATAACCTCTCTGGGACTCCATCACCAGATTGGAACTTCTGAGATATTCAGTCTCGTGGACTGAGCAACTACCATATGTAGCCATTACATGCATACTATGTGTCAGTTCATTCTCTCCATTCTGTTCCCTCTAGAGAGTCCTAACTAATACACTTGTTCTGGGCTAAGAGTGAGCTACACATAGGTGTTGGGACTGTCATATGCCAATGTGTCCTCATACTCTCAGAAGCCTGTGGGATTCATACTTGGGGAAACTGAGGCAAGTTATAAGCACACAAAAAGAAGTAGTAGAGCTGGTATTTAAATCCAGGCCAACTACCCAGAGCCAGGTTCTAAGCCGTGCTGTACCCTCCTCCTTCCTTGCCTGACCTGTGCCCGCATCTGCCCAAGAGGATGTGGATGGTACTTTACACCTCCTTGGAGCACGGGCTTTGCATAAAGCTTTGCTCTTTACCTGACTGACTTCTGCCCAGCCCAGGCTTGCTGCTCCTCTTTCTTCACCACTAAACACTGTGGCTGGAGAGGATGCCATGCACCAGCCTACTGTGAGTTTCTTCAAGGACAAATTCATACAAGGACTAAAATAATGTTCCCGTAGAAATTATACAGAGTACCAAAGCGAAAAGGGCAGGAAACAAATAGGCCGAAGTCAGGGGGAAAAAACTCCACCTGCAGATGACACCGGAAATTCAACCCGCCCCCTGCCGGCACGCCAGAGGGCGCCCCGGCCCCCCGCCCCTCCCAGGTCACCTCCGCCTTAGCTCCACCCCCCATGGGCGGGCAGTGCCGAGGCTACCTCACTACAACCTAATATGGTATAGTCATTTTATTTTTTTCTTGTTGATGTGAGAAAATCCCTGACAAATGCAACTTCAGGGAGAAAGGGCCTCTTCTGGCTCATGGGTGAAAGGTGCAGTCTATCCTGGCACAGTAGGTGTGGCAACAGAAGCCGTGTCAGTGAGGAAGCTGGTCACAATGTGTGCATAGCCAAGAAGCAGAGCAAAGTGAAGGCAGGTGCTCAGCTCCTTTGGCTTGAGTCTTCCCACTTTAATTGTCCCAATCTAGAAAGTGCCTCAGAGGCTTGTCTCCATGGTGACTCTAAATTCCGAGTTGAGATTCCAGATTAACAATCACATACGTTTTCTCAGCAGTATCCTTAGTTCATTATGCCCACCTTGCCAGATTTGCTTGCATCACTCCTCCCGCCTGCCCTGTAGCTGTCCTTCCCTTGACACAATAAACTGTGGTTCCCAGAAGCTCCCACGGTCTGTATTTAAGTTTTAATGGCACAGCTGGACAGGGAGTTTTACCACCCACAGCTTAGAAATCGACCAAATCAGCCTCTCTGGTCTCTTAAATATCCGTGTGCTCGTTTGGCTTTGTCTGTGAACAAACTGCCCTTTGGTGTTCAGGGCTTGTAAAGTGGAATTAAAGACAGTACCCACTTGATGTGGTGCAACAGCTTGTCAATCAAGGATCTTGGGACTAAGTAACAATCCCAAGGCCAGCCACTGCTTAGTTTCTATGTTAAAATAGTGACGGACTAATGATGGCCTGGCATTATGGGTCTTAGCTTGGGTGTGAGAGTGCCAGCTGTCAAAATGACATTTAAGATAAGCAGAGTTCAGAAGCAATCAGTGTGTCTGTGTGCTGGCTTCTAGAAGGGCTTTATCCAGACCAGCGTGGGCACTTGCTCCTTAGAAACCCCCTGGATGACTGGAAGCCCAGATCTTTCCAGTCAACTGCTAAGCATTTCTACTGCCCTGGCTGTCACATGGCTGTCTTTTCTTGATTGCTTCTTTGAGTGCATATGACACAGCATACAGCTGCACACTATGTGTCATGGATGTATTAGCTGCCACGGATGGGAATGTGACCATTTGCCTTGTCTCCACTGGTCCTGGGCTTGGGATCACTCCAATGGCACTTTATTTGTGTACCCATTATGCACACTAGAGTTTTTGTCATGGGTGGGACCTGATAAGAGGTAAAAGTCTGTCAAACGGGATGCAATTCTTCCTTACCTCAGAGAAATGCATGTTGTGGACTG